TTGAAAAAAAAATTATTTGAGAAATTAAGTGTTTGACAAATTATTAAAACTGTTTTTAAATGGAAGCAGAAACAGTTTTTCTATTGTTGGGAAGAAGCTTAAAATTTATGCTTTTAAAAAAAAGCAGAAATAGAAAATTATTTTTTTAAGACTAAAATATCCCTTGCATATATACATATTTATCAATATATCCCTTATTAATTAATCAACATATCTCATAAGTTTGGTTGATTTTTATTCAAGAATTTTATTTTATTTTTATATAATAATCTTTTTATTTTATTTATGTTTTATATTATTATTTATATATTATATTGTATATATTACTTTATATATTATTTTACAGAATTAGAAATAAAAGTAACAGCGATATTTTTGTAGGATTAAAAAAGAATAAAAATAACAATTAAAGATTTATACCCTCCCAAAAAAAGTAACAAATAATAAATTTTCTTTTCTTAATTTATGTATTATTTTATTTTAGTTTGAATTTTTTAAACTTTAGAGAATTATAACCAAAAAAAAGTATAATAGCTAAGATTGAATCTAAAAAGTAGGTAATAAATAACAAAAAGATTCTTCTTTTCAAAAAATTCAATAATATTTATTTATGTACAATATTGATTGAAAATTTGAATATTTACATTTCAAATAATTAAATTAAAAATGTAATTAAAGTTTCTGTATTAGATGTTTAAAATAGTTTCTCTATAAAATAATCTTAATACTAAAAGCATATTGATACTTGCCCTTTTTCGTAATTTGACTCTCAAAAGCACTTTTTAAAGAAAATTAGTCAAACACAAATTGCTTATCAAAATACTTTTCAAATGAATTTGCCAAACACAAATTGCTTTTTTTGAAAAGCACTTTTCTAAAAAGCTATTTTTAAAAAGCGCTTATAAAAATAAGTTTTTTTTAGCAGCAATGCCAAACACGCTCTAATTCAATAAGTCGACAAATAACACCTCGTGTAGATGGTTGTTTTCTTTTCGAAAGCATGAACACATAGTCACAATTCCAGTCCCTACTAAAGCAATTGTGTCTGATCTCTATTCATAAATGACATTTTCGCATAGTCGCATGACTATGTAATTACTTCTCAGGATTATAAATAGTATATAATATAACATAAAATTAGATTTTTCAAAAAAAATTATTAAAAAATGACCGTTATAAATATGTTTAATTATACTGGGAGGGGATTTAGCTTAATAAGGGTGCATAATATAAGATTAAGAAATGGACAAACATAAATTGGGGAAGTTTAACGACCAATAACCACCATCAACGGCAGGTTAGTAGGGATTTTTTACTATATGAAGAAAAGACAGAAAAATGACATACAAAAGATTTGCATGGATGGGTCCATTTCTGCCGACAAGTTTGTCTTTTCACTTTAAAGTGCTCAAGGCTCATTCACTTACAAAATACAAAGCCATGCAAATTGTTAATTCAATCACTTTGAGCCAATTGACTTATTTATCTATATATTTTTTGTATTCGTATGGAACCCAATTAATTCAGATTAATGTCGTGTAGGGCCTCATTTAGGAAAAAACACTTTCTATCAAAAAAAATTATATTCAATGTTCGAATTCAAAACTTCTGATTAAGAGTATATAGATGGATTCAAAATAATATTTATACATTGATAAGATAGGGTAAAGATTTTTTATTTCATATTATGTCACCTTTGCTCGGCGACAATAGTTATGTTATTTTATTATTTTTAAAATTACAAATTTCGCATGCCTAGTTGTAAATATTAAAATGACATGCATGATAATATATAAAACAAAATTAACTCATATATATTGGTAGTGTAATTATTTTTTACATCATTAGATTACTTTTACTTGTTATAGTAATTCATATGTGTCTTGTTTTTAAAATTAAATTCTACATTTTAAAAAAAGATTATCAGTAAATATAGTATATTTTACACAAATTTCATAGTGTTAAGAGCTAATTACATCTTATCTCTACTCTTTTTCAAATTACAAAAATTCCTTCAAATTTAAGGATTTTGGATATATCACTCAACATCCTGATACATTGCGTATCGATTTCGGATACATCAGTCAACGTCTAAATACATCACGTCCCGATTTCAAATACATCACTCAACGTCTGATACATCGCGTCCCGATACATTATCTTTGTTGACACAAGACACGTCAGGATACATCACTCAACATCCCAATACATTGCATTCCGATATTTTATCTTTCTTGATACAACACACACATGCCCCAATACATCGCGTAAGAGTAATGTATCTATTTCAATGACCTAGTATTAAAATTGATGAGATAAAGTAAGTTGTATATTTAGGAAATTAAATTTAGAGATAAAAAGTAAGTTGTATATTTAGGTAATTTTTTTTGTAAATGTAACTATTTCAATGACCCAGTATTAACAATGATAATATTATATTTATATATAAATATACATAACTTTGCCGGCTCTATAAAACTTAGTTCTTAATTAATGGACATCTACTACTATGCTATAAAATAAATTATTATATAATTAAGGAAATAAAAAGTACATATGTTACCTTGATCATTTGCTTATTTCAAATAGGGAGCGGATAATATTTTTTTAAAAATCATTTTAATTCCAACTATAGGGCGTTCTTTAATCCTTTCTTCTTCTTTTTTGGTAATTCCAATTTCGTCGTCGGCAAAACATAAAAAGAGTAATGGAGGACGTAAGAATTCATGTCGTTTTCTTAGATATTTTACTTACTATTATTAATCATATATTAGTAGGTGCCCCATGTTGCTTTCTAAAATACTTTTACTTATTAGATACTAATATTAATCATATATCCGTCCACCTTTATTGCAATTATTTAAAAAGACAAACCGTGACAAGAAAGAATAATCTTCTCAAAAAACAAATTGGTCACTCATATTATCCCTCATGGTAAAAGTGATTAGGGTTCCAATCGCATGCATAATTGAACTTGAATTAATTACATATACTAATAAAATTTTACACTATATATTATAAATTATAATGGGCTGTTTGTTGATAATTAATTTCATATATTACGCATAATTACTTGTAACTTGTAATTATCTATTAAATAATTTAATCTTGATTGTTTTTTTTTCCACATTATTTGTATATAAAAGTTAAACCCCAATCAAAATTAGATTTGACATTGAAATTTGAAAAGCAAAGCTGAGACGACCTTGACACCATTAAGAATAAAAAAAAATGGAGGATTAATGTGATGGAAAAGCCAATAATTCATCTACATTTTCTCCTCTATATATACTTTACATTGAGCTCTCCATTTTGCATTGCCAAATACTTATTCTAGCTAGCTAGTAATATTATTACTACAAATTAAAGAATTTAATTAGGCCAAAAAAGATGGGCTTATTCGACATATCGCATTTAGTTATTTTTTCTCATCTAATAATTGTTTTAGTTTGTTTCATTTGCCCAAGCTTTGGTTACAAACCTAAACACTTCAATTTGTCCACCCATGCTACTCACTGGGGGACGGCCGGCGCTACTTGGTATGGCAGCCCCCATGGTGCTGGTAGTGACGGTAACTTCCTTTCTCTCTTTTACGTCTCAACATGCCTTCTCACGTATATATGTGAGTTTTTTTTTTCATTTTTGAGTAGCGGTGAAATTTGAACCCAAAGCATTTGTCTTCTATGATACCATGTTAAAAGTCTGAGAAAGAAACACATTTTTAAATCGGTCCATCGCTTTATATGGGTGCAGGAGGATCTTGTGGATATGGGAGTGCAGTATCACAAGCACCTTTCTCTTCCTTTGTTACTGGAATCGGTCCATCCCTTTATAAATCTGGAAAAGAATGTGGAGCTTGTTACCAGGTTCTTTCCTTCCCCTTAATAAATTAATCCTAAACACACGAGTTTTATAAATATTCCAGTACTTGATTAGCAATAATAAATATGTGTGATACTGATATATATACAGGTGAAATGTACAAAGAAGATGCATCGATCGTGTTCAGGCAAGGGAGTAAGAGTGGTGATAACAGATTTTTGCCCAGGAGGACCTTGTGTGGCTCAATCAGCACATTTTGACTTAAGTGGAACTGCATTTGGTTCAATGGCTATTCCTGGACAAGAACAAAAACTCAGAGATGCTGGTGTCTTGCAAATACGTTATGCTAGGCATGCAAATTACACTTACTCACATTTTTAATTAGGATCATATATACCCATTTTTATTATTTTAAAATTTTTTCAGGGTGGCGTGTGATTATTCAAGGAAAAACATAGCGTTCCACGTTGATCAAGGTTCAAACTCGGAGTACTTTGCAGTTGTGATAGAATTTGAAGAAGGAGATGGTGATCTTGCTAAAGTTGAATTGAAGGAAAAAAGAAGCAGCATTATTAGTAGAGCAAAGAATTATAAATGGAGGCAAATGCAGCAGTCTTGGGGTGCTGTTTGGAAACTGGATGCTGGCTCTGAGTTACACCCTCCCTTTTCTATTCGATTGACTTCACAATATTCTGACCAGATACTAATAGCCAAGAATGTGATTCCTACTGGTTGGCTGCCTGGTGCTACGTATCGATCCCTCGTCAATTATAGAGTTTAAGTTTTATGTATGTATTTCGCTTGAAAGATACTACTAGTAAAATATGTAATCAGCATTTCCTATTGTTCGGCCGGACCAAAGATGCATGGTCTCGTGCTAAGCATATATATAATGTATTTGTATGAAATTATAAATGTGTGATTTAATAAATTTCAGTTGTACTTAAATCGAGTATTCACTTCCCTGTATTTCTGTATATTCATTTCATTTGGTAAGTAAGCTCATTAGTCAATTTGGGACAAATCTGTAGTCGTGGTTTTTCACCTTTATGAGTCGGGTGGTTCTTACTTTACTCAACAAAGATGGTAAAAACATTCAAAATTCTCAACAGTGTACAAAAAGTAAAAATGCATGGACAGCTGCCCACTAGTACAAATTACAGGCATAAAAAATTTTTTTAACAAAAATGCATCAAAAAGCAAGTCCTTATATTGCAGACTCCTGTAAATAATTAAAATTAAAATTTGCTTGAGAACTTGCTATCAAGAAGCACAGGGATTGTGGTTGAATCTTCTAAATAAACCATTATGCCTTTAGTAGCCTCTGTTGCAGCTTCTAAATATTCCTCCAGTCTGCTAGACACATAATGCATGGTTGGCCTATTAGCAGAAGAGGGTGAGCAACAACTGATTGCTAATCTTACATATTTTTCCACCAATTCACTATCATAGGTTCCATCTAGCATGGGGTCAATAACATCGGCAAACTCACCAGTAGTAAGAGAATTACCAACCCATTGAGTTATGTGACAGTTCTTGCTTGTTATCACAGGAGGCTGCCCTGTGATGAGTTCCAAAAGCACTACTCCGAAGCTATAAACATCACTCTTTTCATGCAATTTCTGTAAATGAGCATACCTGCAATCCAAAAATGGTGTCTTCCGTGAGGATTTAATTCATGATAACTAGACGGTCAAAGAGTTCTTATACCATCAATCAATATGATATCACAAAGTTACTTACCATGATCATACCAAAGAATGAATGTACAAGATGAATGATGATTATAGAAACTACTTACTCTGGATCAAGATAACCGATAGTGCCAACAACTGCAGTTGACACGAAAGAGCTCTCATCTACAGAAAAAGCTCTAGAAATTCCAAAATCGGCAAGTTTTGCATGGAAGTTATCATCTAATAAGATGTTGGTACTCTTAACATCTCTGTGGACAATAGGTGGCGTGCAACCATTATGCAGATAATCCAAACCTAAGAAGTTTTACATACACATAATAAATCCAACTCATTAATTTCAGTAAAAAGATAAAGCGAAGACCAAGATGGGAAAAATGAATAGAAACAAAAAGAGTTACTACAATTTCGCATACATATATGGTTTTATGTTCAAAATTATGTCCTCCACAAATCCTTGGACAAAAGCTTATCATTCATAATAAATTAGGAAGAAGACACCATGACGCAGGTAGAAGAGAATAGACAGAAATACAAGGCATTAGGCAACCCATCTTTTAGGACATAACATTCAATCTTATCGCAATATATGCTAGCTCCTCCAAGGCAAGAAAGTGGATATGACTTTATCTTGATGGAATATACCAAGTTAAATCTTCTATTTTAGAACCACAACCTAGTGAAGTAGGCAACAATTGCTACTAGGGTCTGTCTCAAGAAATTGGCTTTCGACAGAAAAAGGATTCCCTTTCTAAGCATGTGAGACATGCAAGAAGTTGAGCAACTCAAACATAAGACCAACACTACCAAAGATGTTTGCTTACCTTCTGCTCCATTCAGGGCCACCTGAAGTCTCTCTATCCAAGTCAATGATTTTGGACCTATACATCAGCAAATTAAATTGTTTTAATACATTCCCCTGATGCATCAGAAATTGTGTTTTATATGTTGAACATCAAAACAAGCTGAAGAATTATTTAGACAACAATTTTCGGGTTGAACATCTCCAATCAAGAGAATATAAAGATAGAAATAGTAGTATTTCTCTTTCAAGATTTGAAGTCATGTTGGTTATGAAACACATGGAAACTAACTAATCAAAAGAAAATGAAATATCTTTGACCAAAAAATTTATCATATTGTTGTCTTAATGGAAACAGAAAAAAATAAACCTCACTAATTAGTTAGTGAGATAAGTTTAAACAGATAAAGAAGACTAAAGCATGAAAATTGCCAAATTCTCACCATTGAGATGCTCTTTTACAGTCCCATTTGCCATGTACTCGTACACAAGCGCCATATAAGCACCTTCATAACAATACCCAACAAGTGAAATCAAGTTTCTGTGATGAACTCTTCCCAATAGCTCAGCCTACAAAATCATAGACATATATATGGAATTAGTTCTAAGCTTTCGGTAAGTCTATACAGATCCTACAAATTGTTGTAATATATAGTGAGAGGTCCTAAAAGAGTTCATGAATTCAATAGGGCCAAGTTTGAAACCTCAATCTGAAATTCCTTGTATCCTGTCTCAGCAAGCATCTTCACAGCAACTTCTTTGTTGTCCAAGTAGCCATGGTATACTAATCCAAATCCACCTCTGCCTAAAATCTTCTCAAAGTTGTTGGTCATACTCACTATTTTAGTGTATGAAAAACGTTGGCTTCTTGAGTCAAAAGAATCGACCCTTTTATCCCCTGATCACAGTAGCATTGTCCTAATTTAGTGCAAAATTCTTCATCTTGAGTATGACTAGACTAAAGAGAGTTTCACACCGCATACCTTTGCGTTTGGTGAAGTAACAGATGGTGATTACCACAATCAAGAGCATCAACAGTACAGCTACTGATGCAACTACTGGAATAGAAAGCTTCTTTTTTGTACATTGAGCTGATTGACAATGATTCTTAATGAGGGGTACGAATCCATCCATGCTGTTGAAAGTAGGTGTGTTACTCCAGCATAGGCTTAAATCAGAAGTTAATCTCTCGATTTACATTAATGAGATATTCAGTTAATTGAACAAACAAAAATTGATGTACAAACAGCAAACTATTTCTGAACTAGAACAACATTGTTAGACTTGGCACTTGAGCAAGAAACCAATCCAAGCGAAAGTTCATTAGCCACTAACAGGATCAATATCTCCCTTTGCCTGAATCTAATGCAGTCAGAAGCACCTTAAACCAGAAACATACTTTAAAATAAAACGATGTTGTTACTTTTAGAGCTTTAGTGCATAAAATGCTGCTTGAAACAGATATCATATAAGAACATCCTACTGCTGAGTACCTGGCTAGATTTTTTTCTTTATATTTTAAATATTTTTTATGCTGAGTACCTGGTTAGTTGTACGCGTGGCATAAGCATAAAAAATTGGTGGGACTAGCCTTGGGCGTGAATTCTTCTTTGATAGAAGGAATGGGACAAAAGATAGGTAGAACTATATGATTCACAGGTTCAGTCTGATCTTTTTTATTTATAACCGTGGTGTCTGGTCCAACTTGTGTGCACCTCAACTAATTCCACGGGATACTTTTCACCTCCCATCGGAAATAGGTATCAGGTAACTCTGTCAACCAATGCTAGGACAAATAGAAAGAAATCGTCTTCTGTTTTTGTCTCTGCTGAAATTTGAACCAGAGGCGTCACGATTGTCAACCACTTCATTGACTACTAAGCCACACATTTGGGTGCTACACCTTCAATCTTATTTTCTGAATCTAAGGATCTCAAAATGGAAGAACCCACTTTTTTGGTCTCCCGATTGCAGCTTCTCTCTACCAGGCAATGCTTGCAAAGCCTCATAAGGCAACTTAAGTAAAAGCCCTTGGAAAATTCTAAGGAGGAAGTTAAGATTTACGGTTACCAAAGCAAAAGTTCTCTAGTTCAAGATTGACTGGCATAACTAACTATTTATCTTGTCGAAGTGGTGGGAATAAAATATATTTCCTTTTTTTTATTTTAGACCATTTCTTGATTTGTGTGTGTCATTATTGAGCAGGAGCCTTGGTAATATTCTCTCTATCATTCAATTTTATCGGATGTTCCGGAAGAGACAAATAAAATATATTTCAGATAAGGTTTAAGTACCCCTATATACATCCTTGTAAGGCACACAGGCTGCATAAATTGTAGTCTTCATGGTTGTGAAAGGGTAACCATGGCTTGCAGAATATAAAGGTGATTATTGCTATATGTATTTATAAGAAATTCACATTAAACTTACTATAGTTTCCAGTAGATAATATGTTTTAGTGAGTTCTACACATTATTTGGCAATGTGTAGAACATATTATCTGCTGAAAATAAAGTTTTTCACAAATGAAAATACAGACATAGGGAAGATTATAATTCTCCACGTTTAAACTAGTGCTAGCTATTGATATGCTTGATATGGAAACTTATCACATACCTGAGCAACAAGGTTTCATTATTCGCCTTTTCAGCAAGTCCAAGAGGAATTGAACCCCAGAACTTGTTTCCAGTTAAGTTTCTGCCATAAAAATAGAAAACATACGTTATTCATTTGATCATTCTAATTGGGCGAATAATCATAACCAAGAGGAAGAAGGAGGTACAAATGGAACGTACAAGAATCTCAAGAACGCAAATCCAGCAAGAGAACTTGGTATTGGACCTGTTAAATCATTGTCCGATAGATCCCTGAGATTTTCAAAATCAGTTCATTCTCTTTTTGGTCAATTTTCATAGGTTTTAGTTTTTCAGGTTTAAGGAAGCTTACAAGTACTGTAAAGCAGTTAGATTTGATAGAGAAGATGGAATATCCCCGCTTAATTCACTGGAGGACAAGTCCCTGGAAAGAGGAACATTTAGCATGGTGAATTTAGAAGAATTTAGAGGTACTTTACTTTGAAAGAACCTTGAAGTGACCTTATTCCTCAAGCATATTATTCTGTCAATGCACAATATATTGGACAACTCAAATGATATAAGTATTCGAAACATACAAGCCAATAATTCGTGTGGAACTGCTGGAACTGTAATTGCAGCGAAGACCTTCCCATGTGTAATCTTTTGGCAAGCATGGATCTCCTTGCCAGTTTTTCTTCACATCATAAGTTTTCTTAATGTCCATTATTGCATCAACTACACTCCAAGAAAGTAGAGTAGGGATATAAATAAAAGAGAGCATGAATATAACTTAACTAGATACCAGCAGACAATGGACAAAAATTTATACACTTAACACTATAAACCAAAAAGGGCGAAGGTGAAGGTTAAGCTTACTGTAATGACAAACTACACATGCCTCAATCAAGATTTTAGCTTATGACACATAGATTTAAACAGATCAGACATGCTTCAATTTACTTCTCTTTTCTTCAAATACTCAAAATTACACCACAATAAATCAGACATTTTATCGCCACAAAAACAGCAAATGTCATTACAAAGGTTGAGATCAACCTTCCACACAGTGCAATATGCAGACGAATACGATACTACTTTTTTATGATTAGATGTTTAAATTAGATGATGAATATCATTTCCCCAAATTTTTCGAAGTAAATCGTTGTCCAAAAAAAGGGTAATAGCGACTAGGGCGATAGAACAGTATACGCACCATCATTTTCATCAGTATGAACCTTGAAGAACCGTTTGGCAGCATAAACCTCAAGCGCGTTAATAAGCGGCGGCAATCTCGAATTGTTGGTTTGACGCAATGTATAGTTAAAATTGCTAGCCATTCGCTTGTCGTCCATCACAAAAGTGGTCAAATACTCTGGCTCCAATCCCTCCCAGGAGGCCGTTTCACCATTAATGATAACATCAAATTTTCTGGTCTGATTAGGCAAAAGGCTCACTATTTCAGCAAAATACAAGTAGGTATGGTAGTCAATATTGGGATCTGCAGGTCCCCAAGAGAGAGTCCAGGTAGTAGAATTCAGTGGCGTTGCTGCCGTCCCCATAGCAAGAGTTGGTGGGTAAAAGTCGTTCTCGATATCTCTGTCGACTTCTCGTCTTGTGGTAACAATATCCCATTCTGGAAGTTGAAGAGCTTCCCAAATTCGATCGTAAGCGTCAAAGCTATATCTGCAACAAACACTATAGATTAGAATACAACTTTGGATTCCTAATTTCGTATTTATAATTTATAATAAACTATACAAGTGAAGTTAATTAAGCATTTGAAAATGCTAGCCAAGTTCTACATTTTTCAAATTTAAAGTTAAGATCATATTGTCTATAATCAATCAAGTAATGTTATGCTAGTTAGTGAAACCATTTTATGATATCTAGAACACATATATTCATATAAGAAAATTTGGAATTTGAAAATAAGAATGTTAAGTTAAAAGTTTTACTCAAATGGGATAAACCAGTAGAGATTTGAAACTATAACTAAAAATCATGATTGATTTCAAATAGAAGGTTCACATGATATTTTAGTTTGTCACACGAAGTTACCCCTTTATTCTTTTTTAGCTATAGTAACAAAGTTTTTCACAACACAAAAATTAATTAGAAGTATAATTTGATTAATATATCCTTATTAATATTTTTATATTTATCTATTTACTTACTTAATTCTAAAATCTATCTATATCTATATATTTATATAAAGCTGGAAATAGGCAAAGCTGATGTGGCATGCCTTATTGATCAGTATTGCTATTTATCTATTTTTCCATAATTTTGAATTTTTTTCATCATTTTTCTATTCAATAATCTTTTTTAAAAAAAGTAACTTCCTTCCTCATTATTAGCATTTAGCATAATGAGCAATTAAATTAGGAAATTATTTATTGCTTTAGCCCACGCAGCATCGGTTACTTCTTGATGCTTTTAATCACCAGTAATTAATTGGCAACATTCATTTACTTATTCATACTCTATTTTCGCATATATATACTCCTCCTTATATCTGTCATTTGAGGTCTAAGGCAAGTATTTTTCTCTTTTCTTTTATTTTATTTTATTCATGATTCATAATCCTTAATTTTTAATCTATATATATGTTATCATCATCTTATAACAGGCTAATCAATATGGAGTTTTTTTTATGTGAAGAGGCAAGTCAGATATTTTTTTTAATCAGTGTCATTGTTATTTAAGTTTTTGCAAGACTTTATCATAATTTTTGTGATTGAAGTGTATTTTTGAAGTTGTTAATATATATGAATACCCATCTCTCTCACTCTCTCTCAATCTATACAATATCAAAGTTTGGTATTGACGGTTAGATAAAATTAATTGGAGACTAGAGATGATGAATTTGAAGAGAAAAAGAAAGAAAGAAAGAAAGAAAGATAGATTTATTTGATTTGTAATATTATTATTTTTAATTTCTTTACAATTTTATAAAAGGAAGGTGAATGAAAAAGTAAAGATGGAAGAAGAGTGGGCAGTAGGAAAGAAGTCATGGAAAGGAAGAGAAAAAAAGAAGAAAAATGTGAATATATTTTTTATACCCTGATAAAACCAGGATAGCATGTAAATGGGACTGTTAGACAAGTTCATGTATTTATATAGTAGCTAAGTTTTTAGATTTAAATTTAAAATATAGTATATGAACATACTAAAGATTAAACTTTCCATGAAAGGAAATAAAGTTAAATACTTATTATTAAATGTATAAAGGAAAATTATGTTTCAAATTTGTTACTCATGCACGTCAAAAAATCAATTTTATCATTCACATATTATAAATATAAATTGTTTAAAAGATTTATTACCGCGCGAAGCGCGGCTCAATTCACTAGTATATATATAAAGGAGGAACATAGAGAAGGTGATGTGGCACTTCTTTATGACCTCCATTCATATATTTTTTTTTCTCCTTTTCTTGATATTTTTTCTAATTTCTTTCAATTATTTTTTCTTACAAAATCATCTTCTTAACTTATACCTCTTCAATTATATAAATTCTATTCTTAAATTAGTATTAATAATATTCATAACTCCCAAACCTTTCATATTCATAACCTCTCAAGCCTTTCATATTCATAACCTCTAATTATTTAATGTAGAAGGTTATATTAACACTATAAAATCACACAATTGTGTGTTATTTTGTAGTATATTTGGTTAGAGAATTAGTGTCAGACATGTTACAATATTTGTAAGCTTTGAGGTGCATTATCCTTTTCAAATATGATTTCATATATTACTTTTAATCAGCAAGTAAGGCTAATATGTCAAAACATATTTTTATTTATTCTAGATAAATTATTTTGTTTTGTTATCTTTATGATTCTCTTTATAACCATAAAAATGGAGATTCATTTTAGGACTAATAATATATTTGTTAGTATTATTTTTCTTGACTCTCGTATATAGGATGAAATGAAATCATCCAGAGATGGGGATTAATGGATTTTGAGCTATATATATTGATTATTCTTTATTTATTTTTAGGTGTTTAAGAAGTAATTTTTATATTATATTATTTCCTTTTGAATTATTTATGTTTTGTCAAAAATGATTATATATGTAGAAGGACTTATGCTTAAATGTAAATTTCTCCTTATTCTTTATCTTTTTCTTCTTTTGCTAGATAATTTTTTAACTTATTTAATCATATTTTACATATTATAGGAGATATATCAATAATGAAAATGGTTAGACATTCTTGCATAAGTTGATTTTACAAGGTAAAATAATTTGATATGCCTAATATAATTACAATTCTTTCTTTGTTGAAATCGTACATTTAATATTATTTGTTTGTGTTCGTGAAGATATAATTCTAAGTTTTTTTTTTAAAAAAAAAATAATTTATTTTCTTTAGACCTCTATGTAATTCTTGGATAATTTGATTATATTATAATGATAACACTCTTCAAAAAAATTATTTGTTCAGGTTAATTCATCTCTCACTTTTTTTGTTGATAATATTATCTTATTGTGTTTCTGGGCTATAATATTTTAAAACATAGAAGCAGGAAATGAGTAAATGGATATCGATATGCTACTTAAAGAAATACAATTGGTTTTGTTAAAAATAAATTATTTATTAATGTGTAAAATTGCAGTCTTTAAATTTTTCATTTTTGTTGTTTTCTAGGAGATTTCAAGTTGTTTATTAATAAATCAAGTTGCAGTCTTTATATTTTTCATATATGCTGTTTTTCAGGAGTTCTCAAGTTATTTCAAAATTGCGATTAATTTATAATTTTAAAAATACAGTTGGTATCCTTGATTTCTATTTACTTATAATAAAATATTTGTCTTAATAACTCTAATTTGATTGTCTTTTCATTTTCTATAATTAATGTTCTTTATTAGTGTAATAATGTACAAATATTAATCTTATTATGTTACAAACAAGTCCAAAGCCACAATGTTAACCCTCTTAATTACTGTGACTCTTTATTCTTAGGAATTATTATATTGAATGTAATATTTATTTAAAATGTGAAATATACTTTTTAATATTTTTGTGTTTAAGCCAAGCAAAATTAAAAGAAATAGGAATTTGTATGTGTCATTTTTTAAAATCTTTTTTGCGTAGTTAATTCTCTCTTTTGTTCTCTTTTATGTTTATTTTTAAATTTTACACTCTTTTGTTTTCTCAATATAAGTTGTCCCAAAAATAATTGGATATCTGAACCTATATATAATAATAATAATAATAATAATAATAATATATTAAGATATGGAAACTAACTAATTAAGATTGTTATTTTTCATCATTTAAATATGTAAACTTTATTTTTATTTAAAATTTAATTATTAAAAAGTTATTAATCAAATATTAAATTAATCTAATATTGTACAATAAAAATAATTAAAATATGTGATGATTGGGTGATGACGACAACAAGTAATAGTAATTGTGGATAATGATTAAAAATAGTGTTGGCTAACAATGTAGTCATGGATAATAACTATTAATGGCAATCTGAGTTTACACATTGTCGAAAAATTATACTAACAATATAATTAAAAAGATTATAAAGAAGCAGAAAAGAACGATCAGATTTCAAGTTTACATAAATATAGATAAATTATACTAAGAAAGATCCCAAATAAAAAAGAAAAAAATGATCACATCTTAAGTTTACATTTCAGTAGTTCTAATATTACCTTCTCTTTTTCTCTATGAAATTTATTTTTAATATTTAACTTTTAGAAATTAACATATATTGATTTCTTAATGAATTTCATATTTAACCTAAATATTTTTCTTAGTTTTTCTTCTATGAAATTATGTAATTAATAAAAATATTATTTTATTAAAGTAATTATTGATATTAATAAGTAACTTTATTTTAATTCTTTTCATAACAAGTATAGTAGTAAGCAAAGTTTGAAATAAATTCAATCCATTAAGGCAGGCTTGTAAATCCTAAAATAAAACGAAAGAAATGAAGAAGCAACAATTTTATGTTTACCTCAATGGCGCAGTACCGGAAACAAAATTGTAACGCATTTTAAGCTCCAGCGATATGTCATATTCAGAGGGATACATTGTATTTCTGAATCGTCGTAGCTCCAGCGCTGAAATAAAAGGTGTCCCGTTGCCCGTATTTATGAGGCATACGTTCGTATAATTCGTAGCAAAAACATGTATAATCTCCTTTGTGACTACATGAGAGGAATTATCCAATTGAATTGTATCCCAAAGCTCAGTACCAATATGCAAATCAAACTTTGGTACATGACTTTTATTATCATAGTTACCATACATGAAAAAGGCACGTACTAGAAATTTGCTATCTTTGTCTTTAGATGATCTTAGGTTGTAGCAGTTCCTTTTCCCTTGTGGAAAGCTTCTAACATTCTCTAAGTAAATTTCTGTATCATTGGAAATGAATTTAGGCAATAGACGTGCATTTACACCCGTGCTTATGAACATTTCATCGCTTGTGTAAGTTACTGGAAACATACTGCCAGTATAGGTTGAGTTTTCTGGTAATCCACAATCGATACTCACGAATCCTGAAAGAAGAAGAAAACTTTTAGCATTTTATTAGGAGAAGAAATTAAAACTTTTCAGTATTAATTAATTACCTGATTGATCATCAAAAACTGGTTGGCTGCAGTGAGTTAAAAGGGTGATAGCCAAAAGACCAAGAAGGGGAAAAAGGAAATATCTTTGTAACTTAAAATCCATGATATGGCCAAATTAAGCAGCACTTGATGGGACTTAGAAATCCCAATAATATAGTGTACTAGTATAGCTAAATTCACACTATTATAATAATGCTAGTTGCAAATTTTACAAATTAAACAGCACGTTTAAGGAGGAGTGGCCTTTCCTCCTTTTAAGTAGGATTTTATAATTCAAATACTGATTCATAAGTTTATATTTTGTAAATAAAGAATCATTAATTTAAATTTTTATCAAAAAAAAAAAGAGAAGAAGAAGAGACATTCTCGTCATGAAGAGATAGTTTGTGCCATATGAGAAGATTACATTAAGAAAAAGTACTTAGTTAATATTATTGATTTATTGAATTAGTGAATCTTTGTAAAATTATGTGTATTTGAAAGTCTGTCATCACAAGCACTTATTTAGAAAATCCATTATAAACCATGTCCATTTTCACTTTCCTTCTGTAATGGAGAATTCTTCTCATTCTTTATGAACATAGCTAAGATTTTTCAAATTCCCAATTATTTTTAAAAAAAAAGACTTGCTCCTTGCTCTTGGTGACTTGTTAGATTTTTGAGAATCAAATAATATATAATGTACTAGTATAGCTAAATTCACACTATTATAATAATGCTAGTTGCAAATTTTACAAATTAAACAGCACGTTTAAGGAGGAGTGGCCTTTCCTCCTTTTAAGTAGGATTTTATAATTCAAATACTGATTCATAAGTTTATACTTTGTAAACAAAGAATCATTAATTTAAATTTTTATCAAAAAAAAAAAAAAAAAGGAGAGAAGAAGAAGAAGAAGCATTCTCGCGCGAAGAGATAGTTTGTGTCATATGAGAAGATTACATTAAGAAAAAGTACCTAGTTAATATTGTTAATTTATTGAATCTGTGTAAAATTATGTGTATTTGAAAGTCTGTAATCACAAGCACTTATTTAGAAAATCCATTATAAACCATGTCCATTTTCACTTTCCTTCTGTAATGGAGAATTCTTCTCATTCTTTATGAACATAGCTAAGATTTTTCAAATTCCCAATTATTTTTTAAAAAAAAGACTTGCTCCTTGCTCTTGGTGGCTTGTTAGATTTTTGAGAATCAATTTGAGGGTGCTTCCCTTTGCGGAACAAACATTTTTCGGGACCTGCAAGATATGCTTTAACTTTTTCAAACTTCTCACTATTGTATACATTGTTTTCATGAGAAACCTCTTTCTTTCTTAATGTCCACTCTACCAAATTAAAATCATCATCGACAAAGTATATTAGTTCATAATCAATTCTTGACTCGTGAATAATTTGAGTCTTGCATTTCATACATATTATTGTATATTTGTTGAATTGAAGTGTCAATAACCCATTCATATCTAGATCAATCGAATCAATTCCGCAACTATGCATACTTAAGGGACTTGTTGAATCTTGGAGACCGTGATCGAGAATTTTTGTATGAGGTAGAAAGTGACCATTAGTTTCTTCATAATTTTTATCGAAAATTGATTCATCTATCACATATTTCCGACCTTGATGATATGTTGATAGGTGGATCTGGGTTTGGATTGGGATTTAATTTATTTAGGTTAATTAATTTTCAACGAATCACAAGGTGTCACGTATTAAATGAAGACTCTAATTATATTTGCTAATGAGACCATTTGTATAAGGGCAGTAAAAGGGTATTATGGAGCCAATAGGTTAACAAAGGTATTTTTGTATCAATTCCAATAGTTCAAGGGTATTTTAGGCCCTTTTTCGATTTATAATATGTGATTTATTAATGCAACGTCTTAGAATATGAAATATAGTTTGCTCACTTGATAAGATTATATATATAAGAGTTGACAAGTTTTTTGATAATTTTCACAAATTATGACATTTTCATATTTATAAAATAAAAATAAAAACTTTTGAGATTCAAAATGCATACTCTTCAAATTAATCTGATTCAAAATCACGTCCAAACCAACTACAAAGGGAAACTCCCTGGTCGCATTCACAAATCACATCGACTACTATTGTTTGAATATGCGACAATCTTCTGCGTAGTATACTTTATCATTCTTCATATTAACTACAGTACTAATTATTTACCCCAAAAAAAACAATCAATTATTGAAGGTTATTATATCTTAAAATTATCTTATCTAAAATAGATTTTTCAATTCAGAGGTCTCTGAATTGGCTAGGTTGAAAGCTTCTAAAAATGCTTTGACCTTTGGAAATTTGTGATATAAGTGGTGTGACATGTTGTGAAGATGTGCGAACACGCTCCCAATTTGGCCAATATTAATACAGTTCCACTTGCTTTATTGTCAAACTTTCTCATTCATTATACTACAATTAAGTTTGACCATGCGATATCATATTACGATACGAAATTGTGAGATGAAATCGGCGTTTGGACATGTGATTTCACGCTGATTTCATCTCATGATTCCATATCATGAGATGTAATACCATATTCTCCAAAAATCATGGTATGAGAATTTCATATCATGATTTGGGATTTTTTAAATACAAAAATTTATCCACAAGTTTATATTTTGTTAAAACAACCCCACATTTATATCTACTAACTATTTATTTCATACGTAAATAAAATTTATAATCACATCATTACTTTTTAAAAATTATTATTCTCACCAACATAAAATTTATTATTACTTTAAATTTGGTGAATATAAATGATAAAGTAGGAATTGATTTGGTGAATATAAATAAGAATGGAGGGTGTAATACTTTTTTTGTTTTTTCTTAATAAAAAAAAAACTTCTCTTTCGGCTACTTATGAAAATGTTTAAAGCAATTTAATATGAAAAAGGACAAAATTGGTGATGTATTTTATAATATTATTTATTTGGTAACATTGAATAAACAATTGGGGTTATTTTAATAGTTTTACAACTTATGAGATTCTTATGTGTTATGAGAAAATATACAACACAAAAATTTCATATCGCATGTCCAAACAAAACTTCATTTTCATCTCATGATTTCATATTATGATATCATATCATGATTTCATATCGCATGGCCAAACACTGTGAGAATATAAATTATTATGGTAAAAAAATTATTGTTGCATTACTTTTCATGGTTTATCACAAAATTACATCTCTATAATTAGGATATTAATTTAAAGCCTGAACTTGAACTGTAATTAGGCAAGTGTTATGATGTAGATCTCTTTCGCTATTTTAAGTGATGGCTATGTTTTAAATACATGCAACTTGTGGCTACACTTTAAATGGAAGCCCTAATGGTAGAACACATATTGGACTATTGGTACTCCCAAGCCTTAGTTATTCCTTGTTAGAGTGGGCCCAATGTATTGCAGATGAAGGCCCAACTTGAGAGCTATTCATATTACTTTGGGCCTTCCGGGTCACTGGCTCATGCCCAATGTATATGTTTCTTCATGGAAAAATTACATGGATTGACAAACATATGCTATGTAATTATCATACACAACTTATGTTTCATTTAATTATCATTCCTAGCCACTACCTCATTTTAATAACTATACTTTCAAAACTATCGTATATTGAGCAATCTCAACTTTTATTTATTCTTAAACGTTACGGCATGAATTTATACACGTAATTTAAAGATACGTAGATTGGATTGATCAAATAATAAAATTATAGCGAATTAACATTCAAGGAATAAATAATACTCAAAGAAATAGTTGAACAATATGAATTTAGATGAAAAGAGGAATTATCCTGAGCTCTGAATTCAATTTATATGTCACATTTTCTTTTTTTCCAATATGTTCCAAAAAAAATCATGTTTTTATATTTAAAAATAATTTAATTTTAAAATCATTCATACTTATAAATAAGATAATTTATGATCACATAAATATTTTAGAATTTCTTTTTAAAATCATCATTCTTATAAATGAAATAATTTATGATCACATAAATATTTTAAACTTGTTTAGATCACATGATTCAAAACCATCATTTTCTTTCTTAAATTTATGCCCAATTGAACAGTGACATATAAATTAAGATAATAAAGTTCATTTTTCGGAAGCAAATCACACTATCAAGGTTAAATTTTGGTTTCCATTAGTGAATACTGAATAGAAACATCTGGAAGAAACAGAAAAGGAACAACCCAGTAGCGCGTAGGGGTAAGAAGGTCATTTTAACAGAGTGGGGGACCAATGTTTGCACTGTGCAAAAGGGCACGTGAGCAGCAACATGCACCGGTGATCGCCGTTGCAATTATCAGTTACTTTATCTTCTGCCCCTCTCTCTCTCTCTCTCTCTCTCTTCTGTGCAAGCTCAATTTCACCACTGCTTCAAATAACTCCTTTTCATTCAACTCCATTTTTGCCCATTTTCAACTTGCTACTATACATTCTTCTTCCACAAGCTAGCTAGCTTCGTAAATATACTTGGAAAAATCATAAAGATCTTCACTTTCACATTCATCATCGCAGTTTTCAACAATATATATCCATCAAAAACCAATACAGTACGCATTTCCTCCATAACTAGGGTTCCTGTTCCTTTTCAGATACACAGGTATGAAAAACAAGCTTTCCATTTTCTCTCATTGTTTACATCTTCTTCTTCTTTTTTTATAGTTTTTTCTGTTTCACATGCATGTGATCTCTGTGTATGTGGTGTTTGTGTGTTTGTATAGACGTGCTAGGGATGATAGTTAGGGTTTCTTTCTTTTCATGCTTGGATTTTTTTCCAAGAAATTAAACCACCTTAGCTAGCTTGTTGTTTTCTCGGGGAAAAAAAATGAAAAATGGAGTTGATCTAGGGCTAAATAAAAAAACATATGAAGTTTAAGTTCTAGAAACTGGATCGATCAAGTTACTTTTGAAATCGCAACTGTTTTCATGTGTTTATTATCTTTGTAAGCTACAATCTCCAAAACAAAAACAAAAAGATTACTTCTTCTTGTTTTGATATGAATATCATGAATTCATGAATCAGTAATCTGCGATTTTTCCGTAAGTTTACAGCTTTTTTCTGATCGATCAGTT